ATTAAAAGGTTGGTCTGTGGATCTAAGATTTAATTGTGAAACCTTGCACTTACACGGGTTCAGAATGCTAATGCCGCCTTGGCACCAGGTTTTTCTGGGCTCACACTGTGATTGTCCTAAAGTCTCTGTTCTTCAGGAGGCACCGAGATTTTCTTTATCCACTTTGTTACTGGAGACCTGTCGGCCAATGAAAGGATCTCTCCACAGGTCAGTGTGGACCACAGGGCAGAAGTTGGCCCAAGATTTGCACAGCTCATTTGTATTTGGGGACATTTTGCCTTGGTGTCTTAGCAACACAGCCAAAAGCTGATCATTTTAAACCTGCATCCTGTGTCGACCACAGGATAACAGGTCCCCTGTGTGCCCCACAGGATCAAATGAGGGGGTGGAGGTCCCTGGATGATTCAACATTGGCTCTCTGTAATTACTTGGCCTGTGGAGCCATCTAGCTCATGTGCCAATCAAGAACAAAGTCAAATCTGCAAAGGTACTCTGTTGTCACTCAATACGAGAGAAACAAAGTCTCTTGAATTTGACTAGTATTCTTTATTTCACTATCTTGGTAGTTTATCAGTGATAATGTGAATGTTATAAACTGAAAGGCAGTTGTGATGTTAAGCAGTGGCACCTCCTGTTTCGCTGTGGCATATTGTGCTGAGGATATTGGAGTCTGAGGGACATGTAGAGCTTTGTTAATTAAGACCTTCTTTTGAAATAGGAAGGCTTTATTCCCACGGCATTAGGTGAATTGCATGGGGCAGCACACTATTAATCCACCTTGTGAATTGCAAGCATTTCCTTGAACTCTTCTGTTCTCTTCTTTTGCGCTTCCTCTTTGCTCCCCTGTACACAATTATAAGCTGTGAGACAGAAGGAATGTAAGGCTATTTTCAGCATGAAACATCAGATGTTGCGGTTTTGTTGCAGACTAGGAGAAGGGCAGTGTGTTTCCCCTGGCTGTCTGTCTAGCCTTAGCTGACTCCTCACAGTGAGTGGGTGTCTGTATGCAATTAGCATCATAAAGGAGAAGAGAGGCTTCACCTCTAGGCTTCCCAGGATGACGACACCTTCTAGTGGAATCTTTTTTTTCCATATTGCTGGTTCTGTTTATCATTCTCCAGGTGTTCCTATAGACAGTCTCAGTACTCAGTTACAGTCTGAGTCATCTGGCTGATTCATTTTGTGGCACCGAAGTATGGAGGAGGCACATTTGTGTGGGCATACACAGATAGTAAATTAAACCATTTGTTTGAGCGTTTTAAAGTTCTGCCATGCTCTTAGTGTCTTTGCTGTTAAATGATTTATTGAGGTAACTAAAGTGGAGGGACTCTGCCATTCTGTCTGTGCTTGAAGCTTTATACCCAGTCCTGGCCCCATTAGACCAGGAGAGGAAATGGCAGAAGTGTCACAGCGAGGCAGGCAGAGGGCAAGTGGAGTACATCTGGAATTCTACTCACATGATAGGAAATTATGGATGGATATGATATCCTTACGTAATCGCAGAGCCATGGAAAACCCTGATCATTTTAAAGTGGCTTTATCCGCATATTAAACCAATAGGTTTTCCTCATAAATCATAATTATGGGGATTTAATCAGTATAATGTAAAATTAGGCTATTGATGTATTGTACAGCCAATCCGGCCCCAGTGTCCTTCTGGATTTGATTTATAAAAACATTTGCTTATTTGATTCTTTCACTTTAAAAGATTTACATTGAACTCTAAGGTAAATTGAGTTGACTTTTTGCTTTTTTTAAACGTGTGTTTGTGTCAAAATATATTTTATTTAAAGATTTTATTTTTAAAAAATCGTGTTCTTTATGCATTTATTTACTTGAAACTACACTCTCACCATATCAGATGACTTTGAGTGTATTTGTTTTGTTTCAGACATAGAGTTGAAACAGATTGACATATATTACTGTTAGGATGATGTTAGCGCAGAGTCTTGTGAGCCGAGGGGCTCAGCATGATTCACTGCTGCTGATTGCTGACAGTTTATGTCATGGTTTTCCCAGAGTTCAGCTGCCTACGTTTTTTCCATTTCATTGACCCGCTGTAACAACATCTGGAGTCTGTAAAAAACGTTCTTCCCTTTTGTTTGTTTAAGTTAAACTTTTCCCACATCACTTTTAACACTTCTTGGATGAAGTTTCGAGAAAAAAACTGTAAAAGCTGACCTCGTGTAATCTGGACAGAAAACTGAGTGAGAGTAGAGAAACATCTTTTAGGAAATTGTAGGAAATTCTTAATTTTTAATTATTGAAATACAAGAGAGTCCAAGGATTCAGAGGCAATCTCCTCTGTTGGTTATAGCTTAGATGTTTGCCAAAAAATCTGCTGAGTGGGGTATAAAAGAGTTGTCGTGGGCAGAGCTGGATAGGAGGGTCGGGCAGTAGGAGCTGAAGGGGAAGAAGACGGGGGTGAATGTTCACAAGTCTGCCACAGAAAGGGGTGGGTTGAAGGAGAGATTTAGTGTTGGGACAGGCACATGGTAGTTGGGGGTAGACGGAAAGAGAAAGGGAAAGAAGGAACTGTGGATCTGAGTTCCAACTGGAAGCTGTGTTCAGGCAGGGAGAGAGAGCAGGAATGTGGCTCGGCGTGGGAATGAAGATGCTCTGACATGCTGAGAGACACTCTTATGATTTGATGGATATATGAACCACTCTGGCTGTATGATGAAAACATCCCGTGAGTACATGATAATTTGTTACTGGCAGGAAACTACAGTGGTAGTTTGAAGTGTTTCGGAGAGTAGGCATATTATTAAGACGGATGCTTCACTGACGATAATTACTTATTATTCACAATAAGACTGAATGAATGAATTTGTTCTTTTTATTTTAGATTGTTTTACAAAAGAGTATGAAAGGAAGAAGATTATAAAGGCTCAGGACAAAACAAAATAAAAACCTGAAAAGTTTTTGCTCATGTTGTTGCCAATCAATATTTATCAAAAGTTTGGGATGAGACTGTGGGACTACCCACCTCATTCTGTATCTAAACTAGGTTTTCTGTAGGGCATTTTGTCACGTCATATCCATGCAATGAATTACATAACAGCTGGGTTTTTTAAAAATATATTTTTGGTAATGTTGCACAAAGAGAATGGTAAAGGAAGGACGCCCTCGGTTGCCACAGATGCCATTTGTTGTGCACAGCTTTTAACATTCAGAGCCATTGTGTCACAGCCAAACTGGGTTTCATCTCTTTGTGAAACTGTAATTTTATACTGTACACAGGTTTAAAGATGTGGGTTGTGGAGGGAAAACACAAGTTCTCATTTTTGGCATCATGCCCATCCAGCCTTTTATCCACAAGAGATTTCCTTAGAGAGAGGATGAGAGGACAGAATGTCTCAGTATCGTGTTACAGAATGCCAAACAGAGAGGAATTCCCAGCTCATGTTACTTGCTCCCAGTGGTCCAACCTGTGGCTGTGGGACACAAGAGGACCTGGCAGCGCTCTCACTATGAGCTACAGTTGAATTATACAGGCCTGATATTATCCCCCTAAGAGGGAAGGCTAGCTGTTTAGAAAACCTTTAGCTCCTGCTGATACAGGTGGGAACAGAGCAGAGTGGCTCCTGGACGCCTACACATGTTGACTTAACTGCTGGTTAAGGGGGTAAACAGCAGACCTTTTCTATCATCCAAGGACAGAGGGAACTGTTAATATTTATTCAGTTGCATGACCAAAGTCACTTTTTATAGATTTCTGGATGGAAAACAAGTAAAGCAGCACAGGTGAGTTCAGGATTATATCTGGAAAAACGTCCGATAGCTGTATATTCAGTTAAACAATACAACTGCTGTAATTATGAAGTATAGTGTGATGAATGATGGTGTTTTATGTTTCAGTCGTATTTTGTCAGGCTCAGATAGGGCTTGGAAATAAGACTTCAGATGTAATGGGAGAATTGTTTGTCAGCCGCTGGCGCAGTTTATGCACGATTATTCTGGAATTAATATTTACTGTCTGCATTCTTCTTCAAATTGTGGAAAGGTTTTTGAACAATAACAACAAAAAACCCACCCCGAAACTGGTAAGAGCTGTTTAATAAATAGATTTAGGTAGATATAAAATCCGTGCTTCATATGTTTTATGTAAAATAATTTACCACAGAGTCAGTTAGGTTTCTAATGCTTAAAATGTACCTGTGGAGTGACTCACCATGATGTAAGGCATTGTTTGGTTATGTGTTTTGTTTTTTTTTTAACTTTAAGAATTTTTGTTATAAATTAGTCTTTGGATCAGTTTGTTAATTATCGTGAGACAAACAGTAAAACAAAAAGCATTTTTCAGAACAACCAGAAGTTTAAAAACCTTAAGAAAAATGTTTTTATAGGAAACTGCAATAAACAGCAAATAATCTTCTTCAATGAGGACAAGTAGGCCTTTTTTAACATAAAAAAGCTATAATAATCCTGCATTATTTCTCCTAACACATTCTTATAAATTCTGATGTTTATTGACTACAGTTTTACATTTCCTCTCCTAATGTAACGCAACCTATTTACTGTAGCACTGGTGTGTCAGACAGCATGTCTTGTGTAGGCGGTAAATGTCACCCAGCTCTATTAGCATTAATGGAAAGGCGCCAATGGTCTGTTTCCTCTCCTTGTCATCAGCAGCTCTGCAGACGTCTCACTCTGCAGGTCACCGGGACCAGTTTATGATCATGACTGGAGGGATCAATTATCACAAACTCTACTTGTTTGCTTTGCTCGGACTCTATTAAAGAGACAGAGTGCTGATAAGGATCCTTTTACCCTATTTACATTTTGTCACTGTTTGTTTTATACATAATAGTATCTCTGGATTTACCCAGATCTGCTGTCTGTCCAATCTTAAGTCTGTTGTGCGTGTTGGAAAAAGGCGCAGGCTTGGTTTTGGTTTCACTTGAAAGCCCAGTTTCTTTGTCAAAATGAAAACTAACTCATGTAATGTGACTATATTTCACTTTTTATCTCAAACAATAAAATTTCTTGTATTTCAGAAATTGAGGCGAAAGAGGCGTGTGATTGGCTGCGGGCAGCAGGATTTCCCCAGTATGCTCAGCTCTTTGAAGGTAAAAAAACAAAAAAACTCCTCCACACATTCACACATAACCAAAGGGTTGAAATGTTGACATTGAAGGGAAAAGGGTTAACAAAGTAGAACAGCAATAAAAGGCTTCTGTAAGGAACTAAAAATGGCTTTTTTAAATTTTACATCTGTTCCTAAATAGAACAGTGTTTTTGATTGAACATGGACTTGAAAGCTGATGAGTGAATAATGGTACACAGTGTTATCTGGTCTGCCCCCAACACTGTACACAAAACCATGTATTCATGAGCTGCATAGTGCGCCTCATTTACACCACTATTCTCAGGAAGCCTTGGAGCTTGGACCGCAGTCAGATCCCTAGACACAGCAACACAAGTGGAAAATTCAGCTGCTTTTAAAGTCTAATCTTTCCAAGCTACGATTACTACATAAACATGTCTTCTGTGCTTAAAGACTAAAGTCATGGGACGAACTGGGTTTTATCAGAGCTTAAGGTAGCTATACTCCCTCAGATCTCTGCGCTGTGGCCAGACTTCTGATGTGCTGTGGTGCAATATATTTGTTTTCTGACAGTTTGTAGATAGTATGTGGACTTTGGCAATGAATGCAGACATTGCTGTTTGAGTGAATAATAAGTTAACATAATTTTAGTATGATATTGGGATTGTGTATTAGAAATTATCCCAGTGCTTGAAGCTTTTGCCATTTTTTTAAGTCCAGAATACAGTTTAACAGAATATTCGCCCAACTTTAAAATCAGACCGAGCAACCTCTGCTTTTTATAAGAATTCGACAACTTGACATGAATGCAGTGGAATGTTAGATTCATCCTCTTAAGTTATGTAAGAGGAAGCCCATACCCAGGGCAAGACGTAATGCTCACAAGCCTGAACGCTGTTATTTGAACAAATTCTGTCTCTGCTCATTAGCATCACATACAAAACAAGTTTAATGGTCTCCCAGCTTTCAATGTAGTTCTGGAAAGAATGTGTTTTCCCCATCTCTCTTTCCATTCATCATATCCAAGAACACTGCTAAAATGTCAGGGAGGAATTTGAACACTGCTTCTTTCTCCAACTTTTATTCTTTTTATTCCAGATTCGCAGTTTCCCATTGACATTACTCCTGTGAAAAGAGATCATGATTTTTTGGACAAAGATCTTGTGGAACCTCTGTGCAGGTAATGTCATGTCAGATATTTATAGCTAATCTTTGAAATAAAGTTGCAAACACTGAAGTGGAGCTATGTTAAAGGCCCTGTGAAGTTTGGCATGGAAGCACAACTTCCATGGAATGATGTGAAAAAAGTTTAAAAAGCTAAAAGCTGCAGACACAAATCCTGTATTTATACAACTGTTATTACATAAACTCGTTGGTTATCCCCTTTGGGATCGTGTCAGGAAGGGCATTCAGCTTAAAACTCTGCCAAATCAAACATGAAGCTACCCACTGTGGGGACCCCTTGTGGCAGCGATCAGCTGAAAGTAGCTTACTATGAAGTTTTTTCCCCACTTGGAGTTATGTTTATTATTTCATTTATTAAATCACCGCTTACAGACCTTCACCAGGTTGCACAGATATGGTGGTCCCCAAATGGACAAAATGAAAATTTTGGTTTAAAGTTGGTGTAAGCAACATGCTCTTTGGCCGCATTGGATAAAATACTTCTATATTAACCTGATGTCCTTCTTGTTGTTTATAAGTAATCTGAGAGATAAGAGAGTTTCCAGGCTTTAGAACACTTAGCCTGGGATTGGAGACTTTGGCTAGCATAAATTAGAACAACATCAAGTGGAAGGATATGGTTGTCCAATAGTGTGATTGACTTTTTTGAAGTCAGATCGGATCATTGACCTATTTTTAGCACTGCAAGAGGATACGGCTATTTTTAAATTTTTTTGGCCTTTTCCACATTTTATGCCTCTTGCAGCTTTATTAAATCCTTCACTTGCAAGAGCACTGATGAGACTCTTCTGCTGTTCATCTAACCCAACTATGCATAAATACTGTATATGATTTCCTAGTTTGCCAGAGAGTGACTAAAAACGTACACTAAGCCAACAACTGGTGGTTATACATAACGTTCTTGTAGGGTGAGACAACGCATATACTTTTTCAAGCCAAGATGCAAACAGCACTCAGGCTACCACTGTAACTATAGCAACCATCCCAAGAGGAAAGCAGAAGGAACGTGAGGGGTGCCTTGCACAGCTCAATATGCTGTGACTCTAAACAACCCTAAAGCAACTCATCTGAATTCCAAACTAGCCACGGGATAAATACAACACAATTGGAAACAGTTCCACCTCTAACGTGATTGTTGTCCACGACGTTCCTCCATCTCTATGGTAACATTAGGATGGCTTTATTATCAGTTTTGCCACCACAGGCATGTGTGCAAAAATAAACAGCGGCCTTCATCTTGTGATTGAACTGAAGCAGATAGTTATTTTATGTGTGTGAGTTGCTTCTCTGATCCTTCACTAAGCAGCCTCCTTTTTATAGTAACCACATTCAAAGCTCTTCTGGCCTGCAAAATAAAGGGCCCCCAGCTTAGAGATCCCCCTCTTCAGTGCTCCACTATCTACAGTAACAATCATGGGAACGTCTTGTTTAACTAACCCCTTCTGTAACACTGGAGAATGGTTAGAGGCCTTTTACTGACACAGAACAATACTGTCAGTCGGTTAAAAAAAGCCTGTTAGCAGTATGTGGAGCTGTTAAAGCTTGTAATTATCTTACCGCACATTTGTTTCTTTGTCTAAAGCCAACACTCAGTTTAGCGGGAGTGTGTTTTCTTATGTCGTCATTTTTTCCATCTGCAGCGGTTGGTTCATTTTCAGCTCTTACTGCCGTTGTACAGTGTACTGTAAATTCCAGTAGGCACACCCACAGACTCCTATAAACTGTAATCACTAAGGATACGCTCAAAGCCTTAGTTCGTGATGTTTATTAGAGATACTGAAAGCATTCACTGTTTCTTTTTATAAATCTACGTTAAGGAAATGTACATCAGTATTTATAAATAGATTATGATAAATGCAAAACCTACAGCTATATTGTCTATGCTTCATGTTAAGGACAGTCTTTCTAAATCACCATGCTAAGTTGAAGATCACATTTAAGACCTATATGTTAGCACGTACAGGGGAAAATTTTGAATGAATTTGATTAGGCAAAGTTGAACTAAAGTTCACGTTTGTCAGACTGCTACAGGCAGCCCTTCAAGCCACTATCACTTAGAGAACAGAGCAACTGACAATTACCGGTGTTCATTAGGTTTAGGGTACTATTATATGGATAAATTCAGTTTCCCACTGGGTCTGGCTCTGCATCCAAACAGACACTGATCAGATTAACACTTAAACAACAAACAGAAGTGGATCTTTTTCTAGTCTGCTCATCTGGTGTTGATTACTACTGCTGCTTTCTTTTGTTTGCTTGGAACAGCTTTTCATCCTAAGGCTGTTTTTCTTTCAGGCGACTCCACACTTTAAATAAGTGTGCCTCTATGAAACTTGACGTGAATCTTCCAAAGAAGAAAGTAAGTGTTAAAGTCTTTTTACTTTTACAGTTGTGACAAGTATAATATAACATTAAATGCATTTTGGATTTGGGGAAAAAACAGCATCCTCCTTGAAGAGATATATTTTTAAAACACTTTGTGACTCAATTGGTAATATATTTATTTTTGCCACAACAATAGCCTTTTGTGTGCGACTCTCCACATAGTCTGGACTGCTTTGAGCTGTTATTCTTGGTTTGTAGCTCTTAATAGAAAAAAAAAATCTTTGAGTCTAATACCACAGTAGTTATCAGTAATTTTTAAGATGTTGAAAAGAAATGTTAATACATGCTTCAGCACAAATAGAACCTAACTTTATCTTTATATACAACTATTATTACATTCACAGTTATTACTTCTTATTTGTTTGCGCACTGGAATGTAGCCTTTTCTTGGCTGGTTGCATAATGGTATTAGTCCTTTGCAAACACATTTTCCTTTTATTGCCTGTAGCTATCCTTTGTGCTATAGATTTTGTGTGATAGTACACACGTTTTAGCTTCCAGTGAAAAATTTTTCACACACACAGTACAAAGAGGTAAAATATGCAAATTATCCTTTGTGGAGTGTTTCTGCATCCATGGTCTTTTTGATTGTTATTGTTATTTCAGTGGATAGTTATTTACTACTGCAGTAACTTTCATGAGACCTAAATAGCAGCAGTTGCAGTTATATCTGCCAGAATAATTAGTGTAAAATAATCTTTCTTTTCCCAGAGTGAAGACTCTGATGAAGACGATCTGTTTGCTATTAGTGACAAATGGACCTTTGAGTGGAGCAGCCGGCGTTGGTCCAGGTTACAGGACATTGACAGTCTGCTGGGAAATCACAGAGAGGGTGAGCTCTCCAGAGATGGTGTGCCTCTGAGAACTACCACCAGCAGCGAGAGTGTTCTGACAGACCTCAGTGAGCCAGAGGTCTCTTCTTTGCACAGCGAGAGCAGCGGAGGCAGCGGTCATCGGGGCCTCAGCACAGAGGACTCTGATTGTTCTAACCACACCTGCTCAGACACTGCAGCAATGCCAGACTCAACTTCTCTCACAATGCCTCACATCCCCAAAGAATTTGCTCACTTCAATTCACCATCTGACAAGCACAGCAAAACAACCCACTCTCGTGCCAAGGAGTTACTAAAGCGTATGGATACACTGAGCTCCCGAGGTACTCTGGGAAAAGGCCATAAGACGCTGGTAATCAGCTCTCCTGTGCTGCAGCAGGAGGCCCAGGCCCTGAAGAAATTGAGGTGTGAAGACATAATAAATGGAGATGGTAGAGCTCTGGAACCACCATGCAATAAAATTCTGCCGTCCCACTCCAGTAGTGAGGGTAGCAGCCATTCTGGTGGCAGCACTGTCAGCACACCCAGCCTAAAAGAGCGTAAGCCTCACCGTGTTGACCATAAACGCAGTGGCATGTATTTGGAGGACATGGACATCTTCTCAGGATCCCAAATGAATAAAGTTGCAGAACAAAATCGTAGAAATGAATTTTGCTCTTATGAAAACCTCGTGGTCCACATTCCCAAAGACCACAAGCCAGGAACCTTCCCCAAAGCATTGTCCATAGAGAGCCTGTCCCCAACTGGTGGCGCCTCAATTAACTGGCACACTGGCAGCATGCACCTGGACTCCCCTTTAATTTCATGCAGAAAGGAAACACGGCCTGCCACCCAGTCCTCTTCCAGAGGTAGCCGCATCAGTGTGTACGATAATGTTCCTGGCTCGCATCTGTATGCCAGCACTGGAGACCTGATAGACCTGGAGAAAGAGGATCTGTTTCCACACCTGGATGATATCTTACTGCATGTCAATGGTCTACAACAGATAGTGGACCACTGGTCAAAAAATGTGTTACCTGGAGGCGAGGGGATAGTACAGATCGATGACGGGAAGGATGATACAGCAGGGCTTCAGTCCTCTAGTCAGATTACATTGGACTTTGAGGGAAATTCTGTCACGGAAAGCCAGATCGTGCCTAGTGATGGAGACAGAGACAAAGTATCACTTACAGAGACAGAATCTACAAGGCTCAGGGAAAGGAGGGACTCCGGTGTAGGTGCATCACTCACAAGACCTAATAGGTAAGACTGAACTGATGGAACTAAGCAGTAAGAGTATGTTAAGATGAATAAAAGTTTACTCTATTTTCTTTGCTTTTTTAATCTCTTTTGGCATTAGGTTAAGATGGCCCAGCTTTCAGATATCTAATCGTCTAAGTCACTCAAGAGCATCCCTGCAGATCACAAACCAATCAGCAGGCCAGCTGAGTTTGTTACAAAAGTTTTCACTGTTGCGTTTGACTGCAATCATGGAGAAGTATTCCCTGACCAATAAACATGGCTGGACTTGGTAAGTCTAACATATTCTCCCAACTACTTATGTTTGATTCCTATTTTCAATTTGTATTTTATTACAGTTCTTTGAACTGATAATCACTCTCAGTCATCAGTATTCTTTATGTATGTATTTGTCCAAATCCTGATATACTGTATTGGCGTCCTTCATTGCCATCATCTTTCTTTAGTCTAAAGAGAATTTTTTAAAACATGTGCTAATGTCTCTCCTAGGTCTGTGCCAAAATTTATGAAGAGAATGAAGGTACCAGATTATAAGGATAAGAATGTGTTTGGAGTTCCTCTCATTGTGCATGTGCAGCGTTCAGGACAGCCCTTGCCCCTCGGCCTGCAGCAGGCCCTGCGGTACTTGAGGAGTCAGTGTCTTGACCAGGTCAGTGACAGCACACGATACTCTCACACTGCACATGCCTTTCATTTTCATATATGAAGTTTATGTGATATAACTGTTTTGCTTCCAGGTGGGTCTTTTTCGTAAATCAGGCGTGAAGTCTCGAATCCAAGCTCTGAGGCAGATGAATGAAAGTTCTCCAGAAAATGTAAATTATGAGGATCAGTCTGCCTATGATGTGGCTGATATGGTGAAGCAATTCTTCAGGGATTTACCTGAGCCCCTACTCACCAGCAAGCTGGGAGAGACCTTCCTCCATATTTACCAGTGTAAGTAAAGACTGCATTTTTATCTGTCATCACTACCTCTGCAAAGCACAAATGTTGTGTTCTAATCCTTCTATTCACCTGTGCAGATGTACCAAAGGACCAAAGATTGCAAGCTGTCCAGGCCGCCATCATGTTGATGTCTGATGAAAATCGAGAGGTACTGCAGACGCTGCTCTGTTTCCTTAGTGATGTCACTTCCTCTGTGGCGGAGAACCAGATGACACCTATGAATATTGCTGTGTGCCTGGCTCCGTCCCTCTTCCATCTCAACAAAATGAAGAAGGACAATCTATCACCAAGGTATTGTTTTCTTTTTTTCTTGTGTTACACTTAACTTGGTGTCTGTGGTTTTGGGTAACATTACCTGCCATTCTGTGTTTACAAAAATAATGATGAAGACATGCATACATTAACTCCTGCATGATTATCTTCCCCACAGCTCCATAAAGATCGCTATAAAGTGGGTTACAGATTTTACTCATCCCTCAGGGGTGCAGTAGATAACGCTCTTTCTGGGCCAGTTTTACCCCAGTTAAAGCTTAATGTTTTATGAGATCATGCTGTGTACAAACAAAGCAAAGCTCTCTAATTTAGCAAGTTGAAATTGTTGCTAAAGAGATCAAAGCGGTTTCCTGCAGAGCGGAAGAAGGGTTTATATACTGTTTCTTGTGGGGATGTTGACCTGAAGTCCCTGCTGGCCTAATAGGTTTTCTCTCCTCATATAATCTCCAGGGCCATGCATAAGAAGTATGCTACTGGCAGACCAGACCAGAAGGATCTGAATGAGAATTTAGCAGCGGCACAGGGCCTCGCTCACATGATCATAGAGTGCAACCGCCTCTTTGAGGTACGAGAACCTGTGTTTATTATGGAGTAAGAATTTAAAGCCTGGATGCAGTATCTAGTCTTGTTTTTATTTGCTGTGAGCCTTACCTTATGCTTTTATGCACCCATTAGATCCCTCATGAGATGGTTACTCAGTCGCGTAATTCCTACGTGGAGGCTGATTTGCATGCACCAACAATTGACGAGCTGTGCAAGCAGTCGGAAGATGAGGATGGAACATACCAAACACTTTTGGAGGGGAGACTTCAGAACCTGCTCAAAGAGGCCCGGGAAAAATCCAAATACTGGGTGTCGTGCAGCAGCTCTGATAACACAGAGCTCTATTATAAGAAGGTTAGTTTTCTAACCTAAACTTAAACCACTATCTTTATTTCAAAGATAGTGGTACATGAAAACAATCCTTTTTGTGTCTTATGTGTGTGATCCAGGTGGGAGATGGCAACCCTTTGAGACGTTGGAAAGTGTCTGTCGAGGTGGAAGCGCCGCCATCTGTGGTGTTGAACCGGGTGCTGCGAGAGCGCCACCTGTGGGATATGGACCTCCTTCAGTGGAAAGTGTGCGAGACACTGGACAGGCAAACAGAAGTGTTTCAGTATGTCCTGAGTCGCATGCCCCCTCATCCCAGCAGGGACTTTGTAGTTCTTAGGTGAGTGCTTAAGAAAACTCAGCGCACCATATGATCTCTTATTTTGGGAATAGCTCAAATTGTATTTCTTTAGATACCATAATCAGTCTCTTTCTGTGCATTCAAGGTCATGGAGGACAGACTTGCCCAAAGGTGCTTGCTCCCTGGTTTCTGTGTCTATAGAGCACGAAGACTGTCCTCCTTTAGGAGGGATAAGGGCTATAGTCCTGGAGTCTAACTACCTATTAGAGCCCTGTGGCTCAGGAAAGTCCAGACTAACTCACATCTGCAGAGTGGACATGAAGTAAGTCCTACAATGAGCTTTTACACAAGATTCTTTTAGAAAGTGCTATAAAGAAAAGTTGTTCTCTTATGGTTTGAGCTGCATTTCTAAATATTTTGTGATGTATGCTATAGTATATTGAATATAGTGATTTGATTTCAGGGGACGGACTCCAGACTGGTACAACAAAGCCTTCGGCCACCTTTGTGCTGCAGAAGCTGCCCGAATCCGCAACTCCTTTCAGCCACTAATCACAGACGGCCCAGAGACCAAAATCTGAAATTCTTTGCTGCTTGTGTCTGCTCAGCCTTGAGATCAACATTGAGCCTTTGAGTCATTGCTAACAGCCACAAAAAGTAGAGACGGGGCTCCAGAACGAAAGCACAGTTTATTGTTTGTTTGTCTGAATGCAAAATGCTCTGATAATAACTTATGGCTCCTCTGAAATTGCACAATTTTAAAAGAGGACATCTTATAGGTGCTGAGCATAATTCTTCATTGGGAAATTAATTATCCTGCCAATATCATTGACATTTATGACTATTTTATTTACCTTCATGTTTCTAAAACTGTATGTTATAATAATTATCTTTAATAATATTATTGTATTATTGTTTCTACAATGTCTAGGACATTCGAGCTCTGAAATGCTTCTGGGAAGCATATATTTGTTTGTTTCAGATTTAAAGCTATAATTATTATGATGTACACTCAAGTGTATATATGTGTGTCTGTGTGTGTGTGTGTGTGAATATACTGTAAATTAAATAGAATGTATATTTTGTATATATGTATATATATGTGTATATATATACATATATATATATGAAGGGGTAATGAGTACATATGTTAATTTTCCATATATTAATTCATTTTTCTGTGTGAACCGTTCTGTCAAACACATGGTACAAAATTGTAAGCTGGTTTTACTTTGCTCCTTTATTGCCATTTTGAAATGGATGTAACTGTAATAAACGTTGACCTTCAGTGGTTGTGAAGAAGGTGACTTAAGGTTTGACTTGATCATACCTGCTTTAGGGTACTGGATTGTGCAGTCAGGTCCAAAAATTTCTTTTTAAAAAAAAAATAAAACCATGAAAATGATGAAATGCTTTGTGTGCTGATTCCTAATTGTATTATCTGATTCTAAAAATAAGTAAAAATTTAAACAGTATTTTTGGGAGTATGTGAACTCGATTAATCCTCAAAAGAAGCTAAGAACTTGTTGCAGACATTTAAGAGGTGTCAGAAATTCTCATTTAAAAATACTTAAATATTTAAAATACAAAAGTTCATACACCTAGCAAGAAAATACACTTCACTCTGATTTGGAATGAGAGCGACCTCTGCTGGCTTTTTACAAAACTCATGTGACTCGAAATAGTGCACAGAGGATAGCTTATCTGAAATTGATTGCTTTTCTAATGCCACCTCAATAGTGGTTGAAAAAGCTAATAAAGACTGTTTTATTATTCTCTGGCTTTTTTCTTCCAAACTACATGGTAACTATATGGTAACTTGCAAATGTACTGTTTATAAGATTGGGGAAACCTGCAGTCAGCTGAGACTGAAGAAGTAACTTGGATGAGTGACGAAACGTTTCTCCCACTGAAACCGCTATGTCCAGATGAACAGAATCAACTTTTGGAGATTTACTTACCTGAAGTCCAGACGCTTTTCTTTGCAAGCTCCTTTGACTACGATGACCTGGATGACTGAGAACCTTCACAGACATACTTACCTGAATGATTGAGAATACATCAAGACATATATGGTAACTTGGGTTAAACTAGGAAAACGGTCAGTTTCTGCCACTAGATGGCTCCTCTATTTGCAGATTGATGATCTTTACCAATGATTTTTACAGTGGCAGCTTTTATTTTTCCTCTTAATGATCTTGCCATCGGTACATTTATTTATTTTAGCACGTTGAGAACATATCACCATACATATATAATACATTTTTGATGGCAGTCTAGGTTTTTGTATGCCATTTATGTACATGCCGTTGGTGTGTGTAGACCAAGCCTCCTTCACTGATCTCAGTTCAACACTAGCAGTGTTTGTGTCTCAGTTACATTGATTCAGTGACGCGTTGATATGCAGAGACAAAACATTAGAAAAAATAAAATAGAATATATGTATGCCTTATACAATGCATTCTACAAACTAAGCCACTATGCGAAGATGTAGCAAGAGAAAAATAGAACGCGAGAAACGTGAGTAAAAACAATGTCATTCAACAAACTTCTACATTTCATTCGCAGGTGGCAAATATTACAATGTCGATCATTTTGCGGTGGTTTATCACAAAATACATCAAAATTACACAATGGTAGTCATGATAGGCACAGCAGTAAAAACTGACACGACTCTTTTGAAGCCATGCTGACACAAATCTGTTTAATGAGCTCTTGAAACGCACGCTCAGCTTCCGACTGTCAGAAAGGAAGATTGACAGAATTGTCCCAAGCTGTCAGTGCCAGCCTGTTTTATATAAATTCTGGAAACTGATTTTTTGATTATTATCTTTTTTTAAAACAAACAAACAAAACAGATGTTTGTGCACAGAAACGTTCTCTAAAATGTATCTATATGTATGGGATTACATCTATCTATTCATTTTTCTTTCTTTTATAAAAAAACAAATAAGTGGAAAATGCCCTAACAGTGTATCTTTTAGTCATTACTCTGTGAGAAATAAGGGCATGTAAAAGATATTGGAGAAGTCAGCCCTCTTAATTGTCTCATAAAACATTTAAGGGGGGGGAGTGGCAGAAATGCTGCATAGTATAATTACACTGTCCATTCGATTGTGTGTCCACAAGACGACTGCTCCCTAATTCAGTAGGAAAGTTAAGAGAAACCCTGTCTCAGTATTAGTATTCATCCTAATGTAATTAAATTTATATTGCCTTGCATAAAAGACTATCCAAGGTCACATTTGTCTTTCATGAACTATGCCACACCTGGCGCTCTATAACGAAACGACCATACATTTTTGTGAGAAAGATAATAATAAGTGTCAGCTACAATACAGACATTTACAAGTGTACATGTGCAGTGCTGATTAACCTTTCACGAATATGTAAATAAAAGCAACAGTGAGTTATTTGGTAATTCTCGTTTTTGATAGGAGTACAGGTATCTTTAGCAAGCTGGTATATGAGCATAATATCATTGGTCAGGTATTATATTCAGGTGTACCAACTCATCACTGAATACAGTAAATATAGTTTGGTGCACCAACAATGGAAGTCATCTGTAATGTTCGGCTCTGGCTCTGCTTTTAATGCGAATATTTCCACCATATGTGGTTTTCTTTTCTTTTTATCCCGTCCATTTCTATTTTACTCAGTGTTGATTTCATATTATTTTACTTTATTTTACATATAATTGTTTTCTATTTTCCAATGACAACTTTTCTCATACCTAAGTTACTAAAGTAGCATCTCTAATAAAAAAATAGATAAATCTCTAACCTTCACCGGTAAAATCTAATTTTGACTTAAGGAAATGAGAAACCTGTTGAAATTCATTAGCCATCAGGATAACACGGTCTATTTTTTCTGTCTACATTAAGTGTCTGTCTAAAGTTATTGAAGCCAGCCGGTCTTGGCTGTTCCAGCCCAAGCGACACGTCTCCGGTATCTCAGACAACGCAGGCGTAGTGAGCGGGACGACAGGTAGGGGGCGGCAACATGGCGGTGACGGCAGCACAGCCACTGAACAGCGCACATCCTGAGAGCGGCACAATCACACACAGCTTTGTGTGTTCATCGCAGGTCTGTCAGCTCGGTAAACTGCCCGGCACCGATTTCACACCGGACCTACTGACCAGAACTCCTCAGAGTGGATTTCACTGAAAGAGAGTGATTTCTTTTTTGGTGTTTTGCTTTTTTTGTTTTTTTTTCTCGAGTGTTTATTTCATTTTTTTTTCGTGATGCTCCAGAACAGTGATTAAGTATATTGCAGAGATAAAGCGTAACAGCTCCTGAAAAGCTCCCGGTTTGGCTGGAAATGACAAGCGGTAGACCGGTGACAATGCCGGGCTCGCTGTCGCTCTCGGACCGACAACCTCCTCCAGGTCACGGGCAACACGCGGCTGCAGTCTCCGCTGCGGCCGGTGAGACTGTGATGATGTCCAGATCAGGTTCAGTGGTCCTCCCGGCTGGGATTATGAATCCATCGGTTCCTATCCGGAATATCAAGATGAAATTTGCCGTTCTTACCGGACTGATCCAGGCTGGAGAGGTTAGCAACCGGGATATTGTTGAAACGGTGCTGAATCTGGTAAGCAAACATTTTTCCTATCACTTTGTGACTGGACATTACTGCACAAACCCCAAATCATCACTGGTGTTCAGTGGCAACTAATAGAATATAACGTGCATGTAACAAAATAATATTTATTTATTTATTTTTTACATCGAGCGGGTGGAAATAATAATTACATTATTTACAGCATTAATATGAGCAGCTGCCCCAGGATATGGGAGAGTATACAGCAGTGAACAGTTAAAAGTCACACATGTACACATACAGATAAGGAAGGAGGAGGTGGAGGTAAGAACACAAAGCCATAGCTCAAGTTTTCTAAGAAGTCCCACAAAGTCCCAGCTTCCCTTGTGTTTTCCTGCAAATCAAGCAGAGTCATTGCAGGTGAAGTGCATCACTTGCTGGGATTTAAAGGGCAATGTCAAGTGGTATTCATGTTAAAGTAAAATATGAGCCCATGCAGGAAGGCAATTGCTTCTTCTAAGTGTGGGAAAATTTCAGGGATAGACCTGGCAACTGCAGGGGAGCTATTCTCACGGAGCCCAGACTTACTATAGCCCTGCTTTGTGATGTGATCAGTGTAGCTCCCCAGCAGCGTGTTAAAGATATAGATTCTGCACTTAATTAAAATGTGGTATCTTGTGGTAGTATGATAGTCACCACCCTCTGCCCATATACATTTACCTGTAGAACATTTTGTTTCACTGCTGCTTCTAAAAAAGTAAGAATGAATGATTTCAGCACAATGTGTTTGAGAATTTGAACCCATATATGACCAGGCTAACCAAGTGAAACCAGTTTGCTGTCCTGGTGTATAAATAGACTGTGTAGGCAGTTAATACCTTTTTGCTTTGACCATCTGCAGGAGTACTGCACAGCCTGTTTGCAGAAGTTTGCCTCTCCTTGTTAGCACACTAGAGATTAATTACGACCTGTTCTGGCACAACAGAGATCCACTTTGTGGAGCAGGACAAATTGTAGCCTTTGGCATGTTCAGGCATGAGAGAAGTACTGCAATAGCTGGAGTCTCTGACACCTTGCCCCCTCACACTTTGCAGCGCTTTTTTCACAGGAAATGTGCACACCAGACAAGGAATAACACTGCAGCCTCTTGGTTTATTCTCTTGACCTACTGAATACAAAGTGTTAATGTCACAGCTTCCCCTTTCTCCCTGTGCTCATTTAGTTTCAGTTATTTGTAATGTACAGTAGGATGCATTTTTATCAAATCATTTTCCAGCCTCATCTGTTCTCAATTTGTTTTGAATGATAAATTTAATTAACTTGGGTAATTAGTGGTCTGCTCTGGTTAGGCATTTTGGATATCAATCAGTTTGATCATGCTTGATTTTTTTTTATAGCGCAAACAAAATAATGTCCCTGCAAACACACAAAAAAGACATAAACTTAGACCGTAATTGTTATTCTGTCTCCCTGTTAATATATCCAAAAAGTGTGTATGGCTCTCACTAGTCAGGGAAAATGGTGAAAACATTTATATTTATCCTTACAAGATCAGGCTGTTTTTTTGTTTTTTTTTTGAGTGTACAGTATTTGGGCATTCTGAGGAATCCTTAAGTTTGCCTCACGGGATCCAGCTGTAGAGTAATAAAATATTAATGTTTTTCTCATTCTCTAAGGAAACTGTTCACAAAATTGTGGTTTAAGGATACCGGCTCGAACATCTGTCATGTAAACATTTTATTCTGTTTTCTACTCCAGATGTGCAGTTTATGACCATTTTTTGGAACCTGTCTCTCTGATGAGTTTCTCCAAGTTAATAATTAGCACCAAGAATAAATAATTTAACGATTCTCTGATTGA